ACCAATCTATGAAAATCCCGTTTTTCGAAAGAGGCTTGCCATGATATACCTTTTGAAACAAAATGTTCCAGTCTGCCATTCCAAAAATCTAACTATCAAGGTACTGCTTTAAACACATGTTGATATACAATAAATGTCTCTCTACAACCTGGCGAAAGTTTCAAGTCTCCATTTATCGTGGTTCGTGCCACAGCGATCTTCGGACACCTACCGATCGGCTAAATTTCAAGCCTAGGAACCTCAAAAGTACTTGATACATAGCTTTTCGGGCGCGTTGAATCTCGTGACAATGCTTGTTCTGTTGTCCGGGTTAAAGAAACTTTAAAGGATGAATTTGTCATAAAAGTCGGTTTTGCCGCTGTGACCGTACTAAAATAAAACCTTTCTAGCACCGCCATTTATTAACAAAATGCAGCATTTTGTAGAGTTTATCAAGCTCTATTTTGAACCAAGAAAGCTCTGTCTTGGACTAGGTTCATTGATGAATCTAACGTTAAACTAGACGAATCTTATGCTAACTTTACGTACGTATAAATTTTCAGAAAGGACCTGTAAAGTTATATTCGTTTTTTGATATTAAACAGTTACGCATACTTTTGAGTCACGTTTATTGCGATCGTCACCGAATCTGAATAATCTAGATGTAGAAGATATTCAATAGTATGACTAATGGAAACTTTATGTATTTTTCTTCTACGTAACTAACAACATCTGATAAAAATGTTGACATTACCTGTGTGACTTCCAAAATCGTGTAAATAATCGAAAACAACCCCTACAGAAATCAACCATAGATAAGAATGTATGTACACGGTAAAAAGGATAAGAATAAATGTCTTTAAAACCTAATCATATATATACATACATACACAAATAACTTTTGTTATGTGTTCACTTTTCAGAAGTTGTTTTCAAATAAAAATGATAAATTCAGTTCTTTTTGTGTTTCTCTTTGAATTGTATGCAATTCAAAGCGAAGTTAAACCATCAAATTTTGTTCCGTATGGTATTGATAGTGGTTATACACCAATGGATCGTAGATTAAATGCATTAACACCACCTATAAAAATTAAAGTACTTTTCCCATATTTTAATGAAAAATATGATGAAATCAAGTTATGGAGTCATGGACTTATTTTATTTGGTAACCAGACCTACAACAATCTACCACATGCTGTACCCGGTCGATTTCCGCTTCCGGGTTTTATTTGTGTTTCACCATATTGGGCTGATACAGATATAACTACAGATCTAAATAGTAATATATTTTATCAAGAAATTGATACAGATGTCTATGCATTATTATTAATTACTGACATGGTAAAACGTGCATATTCAGCGTTGACGTCTCAACGAATGTTATGGGCATTTGTGGCTACTTGGGATCGTGTTCCTGGTCATGAAGGTTCTCGAGGACGAAATACATATCAGGCTATAATAACAACAGATGGTCGTTATTCATTTACAATATTTACCTATCATCAATTACAATGGGCATCTGGTGCATGGGGGGTTATCCGCAAGTTGGATTCAATGCTGGTGACCAAAGAAATTATTTCACACTACCGAAATTATTTTCATTGGGTATTACAACTATTGTTAATGATTCTAATATTAATCAGCCTGGACAGTTTATTTATCAAACAAACGGAAATATATCAGATATTCAATGCAATACAACAGATGGGTTACAAACAATTCCGTATCGTGGATCAACCTTAGGCGGCTATGATATTCGTTTAGATGGTATTTGTTTTATTGACACAACATATACAGTTGAAATTAATGAACATAAAATGAAGAATTGCACAATAATGTCCAATTATATTTTATGTAAAATGCCAGTGATATCTAACGGACCAGAAATATTGATTAATATTTATAATTCAAGTAACGACTTAATTGCATCCACAAAATTTATTGTTGAATTATCCTTAGATAATGTTCAATCGATATTAATAGATAACAAAGAAAGTTATGATTTAGATAAAGTTGACGAAAAGGAATCCTTAACTTTAAATTTTAAACAAAATTCAATAACTAAAAACTATCATTTTAATGTTATTCTGTATTATTATGAAAGTATAATCACAGACGACGATCAAATGTATAATTTAACAATGAATCAAATTGTACTTTATACTAATGTCAATTTATCATTTATCGAAAATATGACGTTAAATTATAAAGACATAATTCAATCTTTTGATAATGATCTCAATGCAATGGCATCAATTACTATTAGTTTTGAAGCTTATTCACCCTCAACCACAGCTCAGCTAAATTCTCTTGTACTTTATAGGATATACAAATTGACGAAACGTGTTTATAAAATAATTAAATTTATTCGTAATCATTGCGAAGAATGGCATAAAAAACAACCATCGCCATCCGACTATCTGTCACAAGTACCAAAATGCCCATGTCGAGTACCAGCCACAGTATAAAATCGCTTTCTACCAACATTTCATGGATTTGAAGCAGACTCAGCATGCAGTCCACAGAGTACAATATCATTGTGCTGGCTCTTTCATTCGGGCGCAATTGACGGATGTTACCGTCAATCTTTGGCTAGTAATGGGCCTGGAGCTCAATGCTGTTATGATACAGATGGTAGATGGATATCAGATCCAGAAAAAGGTGCTGATACATTAGATTTTGTAGCGGGAACAGGGTCCATGATACAATATATCCGACATGCCGTTGTAGACGTCTTACCTTACTTTTCATGTTGCAAGAATCCCATAGCACCATCAAGTTCCTGTAAGAAGTATTACGAGAAACGTCCACCAGGTACTGAATGTGAAAATGTACCAATACCACAACCAGCTGGTACAAATGGAGACCCACATTTTTTAACATTAGATAATTTAAATTATACATTCAATGGTTACGAAGAATACACATTACTCAAAATAGATGATAAAACTGAAATACAAGTTCGATTAGAACCACTTCGTCAAGACAAATCAGCTACAATTATGTCTGGATTTGTTATTCAGAACGAAAATTATTCAAAAATTCAGTTTGAATTAATTACTTCATTAACTTTATTAGAAATTCGTATTAATAACCGTCTGTTGGCTGTCAATGAATTTGATGACAACGATGAAGAAGATTTTATGTATTCAACAATCAAATTTGATAACCAAAAAACAGCAATTACACGAACAAATAATAGGACAACATATAAAATAACATATGTGAATGATATTAGTTTGACAGTTCAGATACGTGAACAACTCGATTTGCTTAATATAATAACAGTAGTACCACAAACGTATAAAAATCGTTGTGCAGGTTTACTTGGTAATATGGACATGAATGCTCAAAATGATTTAGCATTTCCGAATGGTACAATTTTGTCAACAAATGAAAATGAACAAAAAATATTTGAATTTGGTGAATCATGAAGAATAACATTAGCAACAACATTGTTTTCGACATCATTCCTCTAGGATGTTCGTGAAAATGACATTTTTTATTCAAGTTCTATCATCTGGTCGATAAAAGCTGCATACACACCACAAATCGGCATACAGTGCGTCCATGAGCTGCGTATAAATAATCTGCGCCCTTGATGAGCCTTACAGTGTATACCATTTTAACCGTTTGATACGTTGATGATAGAGTTTAATATTCGTGCCCATAGTACAAATATCGTACCACATCTCATGTAGTAAATTTTTTCAAATAAGAACGTCCTAAACTAATGTCTGTTTATTATGATGATAAGAATTTCGACAAACATCAAGATCAATAATACTCCAAGATTAGATATGGCTAAACAATCTTGTCAGAAAATCACACAATATGAACAATGTATATTCGATGTGCTTGTTACAAACGATACAACAATGAGTCAAACACATATGGAATTTCAAACAAACATTGATAATTGGAAAGAATTTGCTAATCTAGTTCAACAAGATAACAAAAACAGTATTAGTAATGCTTTACATCCAAGTATCGCACTATATATTCAACTATCGTTAATTTTAACATGGTACTTTTAAGTGTCGAAGTATATTTATACTTATTTAGCTTTGTTAATGGAATGTTGTGGTATTTTATTGGAGAATTTGGTGATTATAATAAATCACGATCAATAAAAGTATCACGTAATTCGCTTATTCGCACAATACCTGTTCGAAAAACTAGACTGAACAACCGTACAATATTGCAGAACTTTTCTAATCAGATGTTCACTTCTAAGAACAAGCTTTTAGAAAAACCATTTTTCTACTCTTAAAATCTTTCTTACGTTGAAGAGAAAGAATCGTAGGCTACTTGTGAGAAGCCTCAAGAAGCGAGACGAAGGACAAAAACCGTGATAAAAGGCTAATTATTTCAACATGACAGGACGCTGTAATAGAAAACAACTCACATTAATTCAAAATAAACAGCCCAATCATAGATATATCACTCCGTCGATTCTGTTTATCAAACCATATTCATATATGAAACTCGTTGTAATCAAAAACAGAATTATTGAATAATGTATTCATGAAAGCTAACCATGCTTCCAAATCAAATTGTTCAAAGGATGATAAGTATATATCCAAGTAGTTGATATCCTCTAATGTTTCAATTAATAGTGGTAATATTTCATACACATTAGTAATCATTTCAAAAGAAATTGTAAGTGATTTTACATTGGGAAATAATTTGCATAAATAATCCACATTCTCTAATACCAAAACTTCGTCATCATCGAATTTTAATTTCTTTATTTTAGAATATGATTTACCACCATCCTTTTCCTTCATCATTTTTAAAAAATGTGTATCATTCAACTCCAATGATTAAATGTTTGGTCCAGAATCGAGAAGAATTTCTAACAAATCCAATCGAGAATGATAATAAGATAAATGAGTCAATTGAGACCATATAACCAATTGTTCAAGATTCACTAGAATTGTTGATAATGATGCATTATCAACAGCCATACATTCATTTCCATTCTGATCGCTAAACACTTTCAATGACCGTACATATTTGAATGTTTTACGAACAGTTGGGTTCCAATAAATCTCACCTACAACGTTCATAAAGCTCAATGAGTCTTAGGATACTTGTTTTCTATTTACCTATGACATGCAACACTCATCCGCTATTTACATTTGCTAAAGGTCAATTTGTCTTAAGTGATTTATTGAAGATATATCGAAGTAATGCATAGTTTCATTCTAGATAGACAACTTGCACGAGATATACATAAAACAATAGAAAACTTCAATGATTATCATTCACTTCGGCTCTATGAGTGTAGATGATCGCGTCGCATTTGTGTAAAAATGAAATAAGTATGTAAAAAGAGCACTTAGTGTGCAGACGGTTTTTGTGAAACTGATCTGAGAGTTAACTATACTTGTATCCATAAGATTCTACACAACTGACTTGTGCTGATGTATAGCACTTTTATTCGGATTTTTCTTAAAAGCCTTAAAATCGGACCTAAGCAGAGGAACAAAATGTTTTTCTGTTATGTCTATCGAAGCTGATCTTGTTCTAACACTAATGAGAGAACATTCACAGGTCATCAAACGGTTTATACTTAAAACACAGTTGGTCTTCTTAAACGAGACACGTTGATTAGATTACAAGTACGATATCTGTTACTTGGGCTGGACGTTCGAGTTCGACAATAAGGTTATTCTTAATAGGACTATGGAATGAGAATATGACACGATTCTTAAAGAACGTGTGACAAGAAAGAATCAGGGTTATTTTGATTGTCTATTTTTCAATAGAACAAAAATATAGATGGTTTGAATAAAATATTTAAAATTATAACACAAACAAAAAAGTCATTTTCACCACACGTCATTTAAGAATACAACACATATTCATAAAGCATACTATTAGCAGTTTTCTAATACAATCAGTTTGTAAACAGTTTTAAAACACTTTTTCATACACTTACTTCATCTTCGTTTCCGAGAAAAAGACAAGATATGAGCTAATTATTATTTCTGAGAAAAACGCTGATAATGCCGTGCCGTAGTGATAGAGTATCTTAGTCAACATCTAATCTCAGAAATGCTCTAGCACCTTCTCATGTTCTATTGTATAACGATGAATATTCGCAGAGAAAATAGGAGTTATCTCAATATGATCTCATCTGTAAATCTTGATTGTTAGCAAAAAAAAATATCCGTGGTTAAGAACTTCGGTGAATGTTTTTTCACCTCAAATTTCGATAATCTGCACTTCTCATCTTACCAATTTCATTTTTTAATTGTTCAATATTTATGTTAGTTTCATCGTTTGCCAGCTCTATACATAATTTATCAATTTTATCGTTTTTATAAGTTGTTGAATCATCAACTGTGTCATCACCATATTTCAATTGAAATATATCTAATTCAGTAACATAACATTTATCCTTAAATGGATAAGAATAGAAATTTAATTGGTCTCTTATTGGAGAATAATCAAACATAAAATGCCATTTATGGTTTACCCAATAATCTGTTTGAAATATCTGTAAAGTTTCTTTCATAGTGGTCAAAAATGATTTTGGTATACAACGATACCCGATGTAAAATCTGAATGTTTCTAATCAACGAAAGTAATTTGACAATATATATTCCCAACGTTGACCATTGATAAATGATAAACGAGCTGCAGAAAATGACAAATACTTAATAGGTGATGATGACAAATTTGAGAAAAATAACTCAATGCTATCAAACTCTACATTCGTTATTTTCAATATTAGATGTTTCAATTTTAATGAAATGAATTTAAATGCCACTGGTTCACGATTATGTACAATGTTTAACATATAATCTATATAAAGATGAATGTTTAAATATTCAATTAACGGTATACAGTTCAATAAATGAGCCAAATCAACAAATGACTGAAGTTTAATTGTTAGTTTCTTAATGTTAGTTTTATGAGAGGATACTAATAGACGACAAAACGGTAAATGACAATTTATTAAATTCGGAACATTCATCAGAATTATTTGAGAGTCTAATTTTCTAAGCTGATGAAAAGAATTGAAGATAAATAAATGCTTTAAATTTCTTAATAGTGATAATTTTCGTAATATACATGTTTCCATTACATTTAAATGAATGTCATATAAAACAAGTGTTTGAACTAACAAATAGTCATTAATCTGAAAGATTTTTCCGACTTGTAAATTATTTAGTCTTATTGACACCACGTTTTTTATGGAAAAAAGCGGTAGAAGTGTTGTACACTAATAATCAAATATTGACTTTTTATCAATTTTTTGTAAAGTCAACATGTATTTGACATGATTGAAGTATTCTGTTAATTCTCATATTCAAATTAATAAATACCATATAAAGATCATAACCATTGAAATATTCCAATATTTCTAAAAGGATTTCATCGACCAATCCTAAAAGCAAAACTATACGTATTCAAGATATCAACAAAATATTCTCTATAAAGATGCAATAGTCTATCAGACTTTCAAACCATCGATTTCACATAAACATAGATCTAAGCTGCCATCATAGTATGCAAGATTTTACGAATATTGTGGAAAAACAAGATTTGAAGAGCTGATTTGGGACTGTATAGATTTTCGACCTAGAGAAACTAATATTGATATGACTTTTCACATAACATGTCTGTTGTTGTTTCTAAAGGTTTGCACATACTAGCAAGTAAGGTTTCAAACTCCAAAAAGAATTTATTTTACCCTTTGAAATTTATAGGTCTAGTATTTGATCATGCAGCAGCACAGATAAAGATATAGAAACACGAAGTGTCTCTAGAATGGCGCCACTTTTTTTGTGACTAAACCTGAGTATTTCACTATGATCGAAATTTTTGTAAAATGAAATAGAGAAGTTCGTGACTGTTACTAAGCTGCACTCTCACTACATACCACTTGAATATTCTGATTACTGTCTCCCAGTTAATACTCTGATCGGGATATTTCAAAGAAAGAGTTGTGAAAAAATCATTAACACAAAGATTATGACTTTATTCCATAGAACTCTGAAAAAATAATTTTCAAAACCGACGTTTAAAAAGAGGTTTTTGGGGCTCGGCTTCCGAGTAAAAAATAACAGAAATTAAGTTTACTGTGTTTAAATCTCTAGGCTCAACTCTGTAGTGTTTGTGGAAAGCAGTAGAAGATAAATTGCGCATAATTCCATAAAAACTGCCGTTGGTCTCATAATGTCCCATAAATGAATAATCTAATACACATAAATGATATGATCTAATTATGATCATAAAATGTGACAAATATAATTGTAAGAAAATGATCATTTTTAGATCATCATAATACGATCATATTTAGATCATTTTTTCAAATTATATCATATATACATCATTTTTACCTCATTTTATGAAATGGTCTTAAAATGACTGAAATATGATATCATTTTAAGCTCATATTTAAATCATTTTAGGATTATAATATGATCATTTTCACTTCACAGGACATTGAAAACCGCCAAGTTAACTGCCACTTAACTCCCAGTTAATTGCCAGCTAACAGGCAGTTTACTGGCCGTTTTTAGATCGTTCAGACAGTTTTTAGGTGGTTTTTTGATGGTTCAGATGGTATCGTTTTACCACCGTAAAGCGGAGGTTTTTCAACTGCCTAAAAACTGCCAGTAAACCGCGTTCTCATACATCGAATTTTCATGCGAAGCCTGACCGTTAAAAGATGGTTTACTGGCTGTAAATAGGCAGTTTTCAGACAGTTTGAACTACTAATTTACGGCGGTAAAACGGTCTACATAAAATAGACGGTTTTTAGAACGTTTTTAGGGAGTTAACTATCAGTAAATGGTTTAAAAATTGCCAGTAAACCGTCAACAGAAAGAAAAAAAGAGTAATAACGTCAGATGTAGGGATTGAACCTATGGGTAACATATTAGTAGTCTGTCAGTCTAATCACACTCTAAAGAAAAAAGGTATCCTACAAAACTAAAAACAGGGTATCTGCATTTGTTACTAATAAGAACCAATTTCCATATCTTAGAACATATTTTGGTTTTCTAGGTTACGTTTACGGGTATTTCTTGCTCATACGTGAAGGACATTCCGAAAAGTCGTCTGTGGTTTGATCTTCCTGCTCATGCCCTAAACAGAAAATCACGTTAGCCTTTTTGGCAAATAAAATCTTTTCCACAAACAAAACAAAAGATAGATAACAAATAATTCTATACTTGTACTTTCTGTGCGGGGAAGAAAATCCACCGGTCCAGAAAAGGCTTTCCTGTAATACAATTACTTTTGTAATTGTAGTAACTTAAATTTGTAAGTAACTTAAATATATCGACTTGAAAATGTCGAGCCTACAAAATGTAGAAAAACAAGCCCAGTAAATTGACAGAACGATCCCGAAAGGACGAAAGAGGTGAGGCAGGAGCTATTTCAATATTAAGCTATTGCAATTTTTTCTTTGTTTACATCGCGTAAATACCTTGTCTTTAACCAGCTCACTTTTGTCAAGCTCTAAGTGGTTACATTAGTTTGATTCGTTAGTTTTATTCTCTTTAGTTAAATCATTTCAAATGGTAAGCCTTGTGAAAGAAGACTACGACTAAGGGTATAAGGTCACTTAAGGAATCCAGATTTCGACTACTCGATCGTAAAGAGCATCACTTAAAACCTATAAATTGACAAAAGAAACTTGGCGGCAAACACTCGAAACCCAAAAAAATTCAATTTAGTATTGATTTTGAATAGAAATTCTAAAAACTTCACTCGATTCCTGACGGGGGCCAAGGGCAAGAAGTTATGACTAAAAAAACGTGTTTTCAGAAAATCACATCATTCGATTTGGCTTTGTACGTAGATTATGAATATCGTATTTATTCAAATAAAAATACTAGTCATTAAAACCATGTTTTGTTTTCTTAATGTATGTAAAAAACGGAATTGAACGATATATTACCGCCGAGAAAATGTAAAGCGCTCAGTCAAAAAACATTTTCAAACATATAATATGTTTGAAAATACGAAATTGAGGTTTTATTCTGAGAAAAAATCCTTTTTGGTACTGTAAACAACAACGCACCGATGACAGAAAGAATGTTAAAAACTCGCATCGATGCAAAAAAAGATTGTCTACTTCTGGAGATTATCTGAGATGAGTATGGTTTTAAAAAAGATGTTGAAGGTATGTTTAAAAAAGTTGACTTTTTCGAATGAAAAGCATTAAAAATATCCACCCTGCTTTCAACGAGCACAATTTTTTGTCTAACCATCTAAAACCTGTCTGATTTATTAGCCGTTTTTAGATCTGAAGAAACTACTGTGTAAAAACGGCCAGTAAACCGTAAGACCAAAAAACAGCCAGTTAACTGTCTGTAAATGGGCCGTTAACCACAGTTAACCAGCTGTTTTTTGGCTTTTCCGTTTACTACCAGTTATTAGACGGTTTTTTTTGCAGATCTAAAAACAGCCAATAAACTAGACAGTTTCTAGGTGGTTTTTAGACAGTTAACACGTTGTCAACTGGCAGTTAATGAGCAGTTAATTGTCCGTCTTTTTTCTCCTGGATTCATATAGTCATACATATCTCATTTCTTGCGACCGGGGTACATGTAGGATGGCATCGTATAGTTGACTCAAGAAATTTTCAAATTGCTCATGTGAACTTCCCTGTCCGGGTGCATCTTGGACTTTTAAATCATACATTACCTTCTAGTGTAAGAATACTCATTCTGTGTTCTTCAAATATGCCCTATAAATAAACGTTATCGTGTTTGTATGAAATATTTTTTGAGTATATTTATAAATATTTTTTTGAAATATATCTTGTGGCATCCGTGGATACCCTGTGATAACCTAAAACTAAAAATTTCAAATAAGTAAACAAAATACGACGTTCAACTCCTTCATATATTGAACAGAAACAATAAGTAGATAGAGTACCAAATGAGTCAAACAATGACTATGTCGTATATAATGACTGTCTGAAATTAAGAATCGATAGGGCATGAAAGTGAAAATTCTTTTGTCATTCAATATGTCTTACTCTGACCTTTAGTTTTTAGTATTCGGTATTCAGTAGTCAGTATTCACTATCTAACTTTTAGTTTTTAGGTTTCAGTATTCAGTATCTAACTTTTAGTTTTTAAATTTTAGTTTTTAGTCTTTAGCATTCAGTATCCAACTTTTAGTTTTTAGTATTCAGTATTGAGTATTCATTATTCATCATTCAGTATCTGACTTTTACTATTTACTGTTTGGTTTTTAGTTTTCAGTTTTTAGTCTTTAGTATTCACTATTCCCCAGTCAGTACTCAGTATCTAACTAAAACTGAAAACAAAAAACTAAAAAGTAAAAAGTAAAACTAAAAGTTAGATACTGAATACTGACTGCTGAATACTAAAAGCTAGATACTCAATACTGACTGCGGAATACTGAATAACAAAAGCTAAATACTCGAAAGTAAAAGCTAGATACTGAACACTGACTACCGAATACTGAATACTAAAAAATAAAAAATAAAAGCTAAAAGTTCGATACTCAATACTGACTATTGAATACTGAACAATAAAAACTAAAAACTCGAAACTAACAGTTAGATACTGAATACTGAATACTAAAAACTAAATACTAAATACTAAAAGCTAAAAGTTAGACATTGAATACTTAAAACTAAAAACTAAACGTTAGATATTCAGCACTGACTACTGAATACTGAATAATAAAAACTAAAAACTGGAAACTAAAAGTTAGATACTGGATAATGAATACTCAATACTGAATACTGAATACTAAAAACTAACAACCAAAAACTAAAAGTTAGATGCTGAATACGGACCACTAAAAACTAAAACCTAAAAACTGAAAACTAAAAGCTGAAAGTCAGGTACTGACTACTGAATACTAAAAACTAAAAACTAAAAGTCAGATACTGAATACTGACTACTGAATACTGAACACTGAAAAGTAAAAAGTAAAAACTCAAACTTAGATGCTGAATACTGACCACTAAAAACTAATTAG